GAAATAATTTCATTTGGATGAAACTATTTTGTTTTTTTTTTGAAAATAATTTTGTGTAATAAAAATAATAGGCGCAAAACCAATCAAGCAATGCCCGATTTGAACGCGTCCATTCACATTTTCTACATTTTCTGTTGCCCTCGTTCATCCATGTTTTCTGTTCAAAATACTAAACGCTAACAGAGTTAGATTGTTTTTTTTTACAAAAATTTTTAAAAGTTGATTATATAATAATAAAATTATAGGCGTAAAAACTATTCACATTTTCTTTTTCAAAATACTAAAACATCAATAAGTTAGATTATTTCTCTTACATAACTTTTATATTTGATTATATAATAATATATATAGACGCAAAACAATTAAGCAATGCCCCGATTTTAACGCCATTCACATTTCTGTTTAAAATATATGTGAACAGATATACTATAAGTAATATAATATATAAAAATAACTTTATATACACTAATATGTATATATTGTAACGATTATTTGTCATTACTATACGTAGTTTTGTAAATGTAAAATATTTAGATGTTATAAATACGTCGTTTTTTTTTGTACCTTTTTTTATCTCCTCCTTAAATATACGCATATCATTTTTATCTCCTCTTTAATATACGTTATTACAAACGAAAATGCCTTCTCAAAAAAGACAGAAGCAAATAAGAAGACAAAGAATTATAAAAAGATATTTTCGGCCCAATATTCCCATTTATAATGGAAACACGTTGAGGCTTATCGCGAACCTTCCACGGCAAAATACAAATGATTTATTAATTACTCAATTTTTCAACGGATTTTCTTTTTCTTGACGTTAACAAATTATAACCAATTAAAAAAAATGAATAAAATTGGCAAGTAAGAAATTTATTAATCAGAATTTTTTTATTCATGATATAATACTTGGTTTATTATTATCTATAAAAATTGTTTCTCTTTCAAAAATCTTGTACTATTATGCATTGTATATCTTCCCTGATTTTCCTATTCCAAACATTATACTCCACTACAAGATATTACCAATTTTTTTTATTTATGGTATAGCTTTCTTATGTTTAATGATTAATGTAATTTCACTTTAATTTCAATTTTCACATATGATGGTTTCCTGTAATAAAATATATATAAGAATATTTTGAACAAATTTTCTGAGAATTTTAAATTGGGACCTATATTTAAAAGTTACAACCTATGGTATAATTTTGAATTTCACAAACATAAAATAGTAATAAAAGTTTATATATTTATACCGGTACCAATCCCAAACATGTGATCAAAACCATGGCTGATCATAGAATGTTTTTTTTTACTCAAAAAAATTCGGCTATTTCGGCTAATCTAATTGAATTAATATGCAACTTTCAATACATATTTCGTATAAAAGCTTTTTTTTTAGAAATATATTTTAATTATGCCTAATTTCAAATATGGAAATACTGTAGCTAGTAAACGATAAACCAACTACCAACCTTAAAGGATCTATTTTTGATCGAATAGCTTAAGTATTTAGAAATTATTGAATAAATACATTATTATAAGATTTATAAAAATAAAGAAAAAAATATTTTTTTAGCAATTAACAATTTTAAATTTATTTAATTCCTTTTCATTATTTATTTTAAATTTCACAGTAGTTTTATGTCATTTTTTTGTTTCATTTTACGTTTAGAGAGTTTACTATATTATTGTATATAGTTTGTACATTAACAAAAAAAAAATTTCAAAGCTGATAGAAAAAGTTTATATAATATTTAATGTAATATATTTTATTTAAGCCAATAAAAGATATAATTTGGGAAATTATGCATGTATGGTATCACATTATTTAAGCCAAAAATTTAAAATTTCGTTTTTAACGAGTAAATTTTGTAATGATTGACAAAAATCTTAACAAAGTTGTTTATTCGGCTGGTTAAAATTATGTAATACGAAAATAATATTTGATGCAGGGGTTATTGCACAATTTGATTTATATAGGTACTTTTTTTTTTATACTATCGTTATTCATTGTTCATTTACTCTTAATAAATAACCAAGTTTTTTTTAGGAGCGGTTTGTGAACTTAATCCATCCCCTTTGTCAGAAAAGATTTAAGTAAACTTCCTCTAAAGATTTTAACATAAATAATATAAATAAAAAATTTTTCTGAATTTTCTATCTTATATATATAGCGTTAACTAACGAAGGCAATTAAGATTGTTAAAGGAAACTTGTAGTTATCTTGCAGGTATGTTTACTCCGGTTTTTTTTAAAATAAAAAAATTGAAGCGTCTCGGATATTAAATTTTGAAAATAATTGCTATTATATTTTATAATAGTAAAATAAATAAAATTTCACAAGAAATGAATAATTTGATTATTTTTGCGAGAAAAAGAATTCCTCATAGCGCAGCGTATTTTTAAGGTCTTTGACCAACTCAGTAAAAAATTTCATCCATGAATATGATACATTTACGGGAAAAAAAACACGGAATAAAATTTTTATATGCCAACCGAACTGGGGGACAAATTTTTTTTGGAAATCTTAGATGTTTATAACTAACATAAATGGTAGATTACAAGCAAAATTTGACTAGACATTATGCAGATGGATAATTTGTTTGTTGATAATCAAAAAAATTAGAAATTTATATAAAAGGAGTTGGGGAAATGGGGAAATGGGGCTTGATTACACTTTTAAAATTTTCTTTACGTGTAAAATTCATTTTATATACGACTTGGATGAACTTTTTTTATTTTATTTTGATACTTTGTTTAGTTTAACCCTAACAACTTTTTTTTTTCTACTTTTTTTTCATTTATTTTCAGAATTTTCTTTAAAAATGACAATCTACTACTACAGTATAAAATAGTTAATAAATGACTTATAATATGTCTTTATTTTGAACGAACGGTACGTTATCAGGTATTCAGACTATTTTTTGCCACTATTGAAACTTGACGGTAACGCATACATAATATTAGTAAAAATTCTTAATAATATCTATATGTTTTATTAAAATCAATGATTTAAAACTTTTTTTTGTATTATTTGTTTGATGGGGGAATAGGTCTAGCATTAGGAATACTGTTGTGACCAATAGAAATTAATGTTATCAATACTAATCTCAAGATAGATGTCTCATTAAAACATCGGTTATATTAAAATCCGCATATTCCTAATCGATTAAACAATAAATGCATTTATTTGGTAATTATTAATAAGTAATTGTAATTAAAAAACGCAAATCATTATTTAATAATATATTTGTGGGTTAATTTATAATATAGATTTGATTATCTACGATGATAATATAAGTCGATTTGTTTGTTATTATTGAGGCATCCCAGGTAAAGCTAGTAGTATATTATTTTATTTTATTCGCAATCACACGAATCACGCGGGAAAAATATAAAAAAGGTTAGGACAAATACATCATCATGTTGAATCTTTAATTTGATGGAGGGACTTAATAGGTTTCTCTAAAAGATTATTAATATAAATAAAAATTTTTTTCTTTGGAATAAAAAATTTTTTTTTTTATATATATGAAAAGATATAGTGCATGTTGTGTTCACCTATGGATGATACACGCCAAAAAGGCAATTAAAATAATTTACTCGTTAGTAAAAGGATTTTTTTTTGGCTGGGGTTATGAATTAACATAATTTTTATTTTATTTCTTAGATTTACTCTGTTATCATCTTACATTACTTCAAATTCAAAATTTGCCGGTGTATTACTGCGGTTCTTTCTTTTTTTAAAAAAAAAATGAAGTGTGATGGTGAGTTCCACGGGATGTAATTGAAAGTCAGATCGATATTAAAAGTAGTCGAAAGGGCATCATCTTTTGAAAATGAATTTAGTGAATTGAAATATACTGTAATTGATACGTTTATATTGTTTATATTTCACAATTTCACATATTTCTCTGTTCTATAAATTAATTATTTATATAATAAACATTTATCGAGAAGATCATAGATAAAAAAATTTTCATTGATAAGATAATGACTTCATGACTTCATAAATAAATTTATTATTATTAAAATTAAAATATTTTTAGAATTATTACTATTTTATACAATTTTATTCTGTTTTCATAAATTTCATTCATAAGTGAGTCGTGATTTATTCCGAGGGTTTAAAATTACAGTATTAGGGTGATAAATATTGGACCCCAAATAAAGATTTAAATTTAGTTTAAAAATTCTTACATCGTTTTTGTTTTAGTTTGTTTATACTACTATAAATAATTTCTTTTTAAAAAGCGCTCAAAACGTTTAGTTCTCTGTTTGTAAGAAATTTACATTTATTTTTTTTTAATACAAAAAATCTCAGCAAAATTTTTTTTTACTGCTTTTTCAAAGTTTTCATAGTTAGAAGCTAAAGAAATTCTAATTACTTTTAGATTACTTTGAATTTTTTCGAGCAACAAAGACACAATCATATAATAAGTGTACAAATCCATTTTTTTACGTTCATTTAAATTTCCAAAATTAATTTCCATTTATTTTCGTACTTTATTATTTCGTTAGGTAATTTTTTTCCGGATTATTCATTTATATTACATCCGTGAATATTCATACAAATTTAAGTATCATTCACTAATATATTTTTATCTTCCGAATATTTAAAATAAATATTCATATACCTTCTTTCAAAATTTTCCTATTAGGATACTGGATTATTTATACATATGCCACACTGACTCTGAGAAAATGATCTTCAACTAATAATTTCCTTTTTTATAGTGTCTTTGAAAAAGTCCCAAAATAGGCTAGATAAATTTTATCCCGGCATCATCACGTTATCCCTGAGTCAGGACTGAGTACTCTGATTTTTTTATAAAAGAGGTAGCTCATGACAAAAATTCTTATTTTAAGTTCTTTTTTTCAAAAAAAAAAAAAATATATTTGCTTTCGTATTTATGTTTTATCGGTTTATCGGTTTTTATCGAAAATTAAGATTCTATAATTTTGTGCTACAACCATTAATAATTACCTAATTTATTAAAATGCAACAATACTTTCAAAATTTTGAATATGAAATTAAGATAAATATATACAAATATATCGATTTCCCACTTAATTTGGCACTGACATGTCGAAATTGGTCTGTCATTTCAAAAGATGCTTACGCTAAAACAGAATGGTTGCTAGTGCGCTATGGAAAATCTCATGCATTATTCCACGCTGTGCGATTAGGCCCCACGTTTATAGATATCCCAGTATGTAAAACATTAATTACGAGAAAAGTTCCAATATCAAGATATTTTATTCAAAGGTTACTTATGCACTTCGGAAAATATGATCAAAAGTTGATAGAGCTCAAGATAGAGCATAATGTCGGTCAACTTGATGCGGATAGAATTCGCGCTTTCCAACAAAAAATTAAATCACCATGGGCGAGCAATTTACCATATTCGTGTTCACTTATTTATTAAATGAAGGTACAAACAATTAGCTAATATGAATGAAACCTTACCTTCAAAGGGTAATGATATGGAGCTATTTCACTTTCTCTCCGCAGGTCCTCACGTGATAAATTATGCTCCCGGCATGTTGAGAAAGAATTTGAAAGATATAGAAGATTTGATTTTAAATAAACGGTTCCGTCGTTCCATTTCCTCACAGACCAAAAGCGTATCAATTAGATTTAAATAGCGATCCATATCCTTCCAAAGATGGATTCGAAAATAATAGACGCTTAACGTAATTGCGAAAGGAATCCTTATACGTCCGGATCTAGTGAACTTATGGAAACAAATTGGTTTGTAATGACGTTGATGATTTGGTCATGCAAGGAGAACTTCTCATTATATTTCCACCAACTCCCGCGTCCGATTGGTCTTTCCCATTCATTGAAATGGTAATTTCACGCCTGGCAGAACTTATAAATCTAGGGTTCTCATTGAAGGATAATGTTATTATAGATGCACTCCATATGTTTGAGCATCGATTAAATGAAATAGAGACATCTTGTGGGACGCTTTCCTTGCAATTCGATCAAGCGAAACAACCAATTAGGAACATCCCCAAAGATGAAAATAATAAACAGCTTAACGTAATTGCGCGAGAAATCTTTATTGTTCCGGACTTAGTGAATTTATGGAAACAAATTGGCTATTATTAGATTTGTAATGACGTTAATGACTTGATCATCATACAAGGAGCTTAGGAGCACTTCTCATTCTATTTTCACCAACTCCCGCATCCGATTGGTCTTGCCCATCCATTGAAATTGTAATTTCACGCCTTGCCTCTAGGTTTCTCATTGAAAGATAATGTTATAATAGATGCACTCCACATGTTTGAGCATCGATTAGACGAAATAGGAGACATCTTATGGGACGCTTTCCTTGCAATTCGATCGGGTGGAAATGTCTATTCACTCGCTCTTAAATTTTTCAGAGAAGCTTGTAAATCCGAAAGAAATTAAAGAAAGATGACCTACTAAATTTCCTTAAATCCAAATTTGATTATCATGAACAAGTTATAAAGCAAGTTGTTAAACAATATTTTATAGATAAAAAAAATGATCGGTATCACTTTAAGAAGAAAATTTTTAATACTATCACTAAAAGTTTATCACTAGTACGCTCTTATAGCAAGGAATCTGAATTACTTTGTAAGAGTCATAAGAAATAATATTAATGATAAAAGTAAAAATACCAATCGAAGAATTAAATAAATCTACACACCTGATTCCATAATCTCAATTTATGATGAAAAAATTCATTCTCGTAATTTTTGGAACGATCCTTTACATCCAACCTACACCTGTATTACATCAACTATATATACTCTATTATAGCTTTTAGTTTGTTTTCATCATTTTTTCTCGTCTTTTTTTGTGTTTAATAGAAGATGGTATAGATAACTAGCAAGCGAGTCAGTAAATAAAAGTTGTTCTTAAAATTATAAGTTTGTTCTTAAAATTAACAAGTCTTTACGATAATTAACATAATTGCGAACCCTGAACCTCAAACCTGCACAAGCAGTCTTAAGACTATAAACCTTGCAAAAAATAACCATTCTCACACTTTCCTTCGAACGGCTGCAGTTGCAGTGGCATTTTTTTAACATAAAAATTACTTAAAGTTAGATATTGCAACAAGTACCAATAAACACAAACAATATAGAACTGCCGTACCAATTCATTAAAGCATATAGAATATATCTATGTTTTGGCTCAATTCCAAAAAGCATAATTTTCAATATTTTTATAGTTTTTAGAAAAAATTGAAAGATAAAAAAAATTAATAATAGATGTATATCGACATTACGTCATTACGTCATTACGTCATTTACTAGTAACACTATTCACCACACGTGATGTCCAAAAAATTTATTGGCACATGATTAAGATACTAACCATACACAGAGACCATTCCTCACACGTGAAAATATTATGAACACGAAGAAAAATGAAAAATGAAAAGAGATACGGAACCGTTTAGGAATCAACTATGTTGTTACCATAAGAAAATACGAAAAACATATTTGGGAAAAATAGGACTCCGAAGAAACGTTTTGTATGTTTTCAACAAAATACAGGTTGGAATCGAATTACTCGCTTCCAATGAAACAAAATAATTATGGATGAGATCCTATTCCTAAGATCTGCACATGACGACTGCGGTTAATAAATAAACATTTGAATCTACCTCTTTCACCTTGAGAAAAGTGAGAGAATAATTATGAACGGAAAGTTACGACTACCTCTATTTCCTCCGGGCTTTCGAAGCGACCTTTAGATAACTTACAGGGTACTGATTTACGGATCGTGAAGTCCGCTGCCGCTGTTATTGTAAAAAACTTCCTAGAAATTGCACTCGAAGTGAAATGAAAGACCATTTTATTATCGATAATACCTTTTGTTCTTTGTTTTTTTGCTCGTCACGAGCCAAGACATCTTTTTAAGAACACCGTCAAGATCCGACAATAATATGATGCTCACACAAAAAAACAATGAGTCAAGATTAAACTCAAAACACAACATTATCCTCAATATTCGCATCATGCGGTTTCACGTGTTCCAATACTACGGCACCATTCTACAGATGACAGTATTTACGTGTGGCACTTTTAAAAGAGTGATATAAACCTCACTGTAAAATTAATGTAAACATTCAGCTAGTTCGAGTCTTTGATTAACGTTAGATTTTTTTTATTTTTATCGGTAAACGGTCGCGGCGGCCTTATTATAGTTTTTATATTTATATTTAATTCATATTTCACGACTTACATGGAGTTTGTATTATTTATGAGTTTAACCAAGTTATGGATACAAAAATAAGTATCATTTATCCGAAATATTTAGAATTATTACAAAAAGAAACTAGTTTGATCATAATCTATTTTTTGGAATCTCTCTTCTATCCTATTAACATTTACTTCCAATCGCTTTTAGTGAAGTTATTTTGCGAAAATATTTCTTGATAAGGTAAAAAACTGATTCTCTTGTTGATTAATTCCAGAAAAGGTTGTTAAACGGAGTTAGCTGAATACGGTAGAGTGATTATCCAATTATAATGTAAGAAATTCATTGTTTTTATGCGTACTTAAAAAAATTCGATCTTGAAATCATCAAATTACCTTAGTAATATGTTCGCGTTACTACGTTTTTACTAACAAATCAAGTCTTATCAGTAAGAGATGAACGCGCCAAAATGCAAGAAAAATAATAGCATGCAAACACCATTGGTCCGTTCTTTTAATCGTTTTAAAGATTTTAATAAAGATAACTTCTCGTGCTACACAAGAATAGATGTATTTACAAGATATTTTCTTATAAAAACCTCTGAAATTTTTTTCTCTCGAAAAAAAATATAAAAACCTCTGAAATTCTCCTCCCTCGAAAAAAATATTCATCATTTCCATCAATTCAATAACTTATAAAAAAACTATGGTCACTCATAATTCTTCAAATAATTTTGGTGATAATGTCTACGAATCATCGCAAACAATTGTTGCTCAGACGTACGATACATATTTGCCTGCCATGCCTGTCACATATTGCAATAACGTTAATAACGCAATTTCTGACCAACAACTCATGATGCCAAACACTATCTCTCCCAATCAGCAACCCAATGTCTCTTCGCCTAATCATAATCAGCGATATCAGCAGCCCAATGTCCCTTCATCTGATTATGATGCTAACTATAGTAACGCCATTTCTAACTATAGCAATAACGTCACTACATCTCCTGATCAGCAAACCAATGTTTCTTCACCTAATCATAATCAGCGATATCAGCAACCCAATGTCCCTTCATCTAGTAATTATGATGCTAACTATAGTAACGTCGTTTCTAACTATAACTATAGCAATAACGCCATTATCTCTCCCGATCAGCAACCCGATGTTTCTTCACCTAATCTTAATCAGCGATATCAGCAACAAAATGTCGCTTCACCTAATCAACAGCTCACCATCTCTTCCGGTTGGCAACCCATGTCAAACAATAATGTCACTACATCTCCTGATCAGCAAACCAATGTTTCTTTGCCTAATCATAATCAGGGATATCAGCAACACAATGTCGCTTCACCTAATCAACAGCAATATGATGCTATTAATAACGTCACCATCTCTTCCGGTCGGCAACCCATGTCAAGCAATAACGTCACTACATCTCCTGATCAGCAAACCAATGTTTCTTCACCTAATCTTAATCAGCGATATCAGCAACACAATGTCGCTTCACCTAATCACCAACAGCAATATGATACTAACTATCAACAATACATTTCTAACTATAGCAACTATAGCAATAACACCACTATCTCTCCCGGTCGGCAACCCATTATGTCAAACAATAACGCCACTACCTCTCTTGATCAGCGAACCAATGTTTCTTCACCTAATCTTAATCAACAATATCAGCAACACAATGTCGCTTCACCTAATCATCAGCAGCAATACGATGCTAATCATCAACAATATATTCATCAAACCGCCATTTCTAACAACACTGATTCTTTTATTCTTGGTCTTAATCACCATCACAATTATCAACAGCCCAGTGATAGTAATCATCACAATTCAAACAATACTAATCACAATAATAATCAGGAATCTTCGTCTAATAATGATTCGCCCTCGCCTTCGCTTAACATTACCATTAATTCTCCTCAGACAAATTTATTCATTATATCTACTAATTCGGATATTCAGCAAGTTCTTTCTTTTTTGAATAATCCTTCTTCAAGATCTCAACGATAAAATTTTGATTTATTAGTGGTATATAATAACTTTCGAATTTCATTCAATGTATAACCACGTAGTATCTCGTAGTATCAATTTCTTTATTTATTCTCATTTATTTCTTTATATTCTAACATAATGAGTAGTTGCTACAGTAGAAATATTTAGTCCTATCGCAAAAAATAAACTGTATACCATTTTATCTTATTTCTTACATTATTTAAATAAAATATTATTTTTTTTTAAAACTGTAAACCAGATTCATATGTAGTATTAGGCCGGCTAGGCTAACCCTTTTCAGGAGCATTATACATATAAATTTTATCTTCCATATAAATTTGTATAAGTTCATTCTATACCGCCATACTAAGACTACCTAATTTGTAACGACCAACCAAGCCTATTATTTTTATTTTATATTATTAAAATAATAGTAAATTATAAGTCTTAAATAAAAATATATTTTAATATTCGAATTTTAAGTCGTTTAAAAAAACATATTCTATTGATTAGACGCTAATTGAATGATAAAAATTTTTTTAAAGTAAACGAATCGATATAGAAATTTCAAAAAAAAAGTATTGTCAATTTACTTATTTGATTAATCAGGAAGATTGAAAAAAGAGAGATTTATGGGCAATCAGTTCACAATATAAGCAGATTTGTAAGATGTTACAATGCAAATACGCCTCATAATAAAGAGGGGTTAATACATAACTCATAATAAAGGGAAGTTTGTAAAGAAACGCGTAAGTTTAGAAAATTTCAGTTTTCACAATACTGTAGTAGAAAAAATAATTACATTGATACACAAATAGACAGTACATGCATTATTTATTAGAAAATTTTACATAAAATGCATTTACGCACTACTATACGATGCTTTAAAACTCTTTATCAGTTGTAACTTGTAACCGCGACTAAAATCCACTTTTTTCCTTAAGTAAACTTTCAGAGCAGGCTAAAAATACACTTATGATTTTCAAGTACTATTAGTCTTTGTTAAAAAAAAATGCTAAATCATGTGACTTTGTCCCGTTTCAAAATAAGTCAATTTTTACTTCCGTTGTTAAGTTTTTATATAAATACCAAGTAGATTGTAAGAATATCGTCAAGGAACTTAGAAATTAAAATTCTCGCGAAAAAAATTCCTGTTCCCGTATATATTATGTTTACGACTTATTTATCATTTATCTGTACTACAGCCTTAAATTCATCATGAAATTTTTAATTTTGATCTTGTCTTCCATATGGATTAGTTCTGGAATTCTATATTTTAATCGAATTTTGTGCGAATATCATAAAAAACTATCACAAATTATTATTTCCTAATATGCAAATTAAGTTTAATATTCCTAATTATTCATTTTTGCATTTTAAAGTGTATTCTTGACGATGAGAGATTCACTATTAGAATTATCTTGTATGGACGGGTAGAGTGCTTTTATTTTTCTCCATAATGTTATATTTTGTAATAAATATATAGTGTCAACAGTGTCATTAACTAGTACGTACTTATAGAGCCCAAACATTTTTAATTCTATCGCGCTTTTCAAAATTGTGCTACCCCCTATAATTACCATAAAAAAAAATTTTTTTTATAAAAATTCGTGATTATTTGTGATTACTAATAGCGGGAGTTTATTATAAAAACTGCAGTGTTCGATTATTTTGCAGCCTATTAGGTATAACAAGGGTGGATTGAAATATTGGTTATATAAATAGCACGTTAATTATTTAAAAAATTAAATATTTTATATAAAAAAAACTGTTAAAATTAGGTATCATGGGCACGAGCTTATCATGGGTCCGATATTTTACCCCCTGTATAAATATAATTATAAAGTAAACCCTAGAATGGTTTCACATTATTTTAAACTTTAAAATAAAAAATTCTGTATATTAAAAAAATACCGACTTTTAAAAAAACAAATTTTGTTAGGTAGGGACGTTAACAAATATTTACATAAAAAAAAAATTTTCAAATTATATCTTTTATTGACTTAAATAAAAATATACTATTATACATTATTAATATAAACTTTTTCTAACAGATTTGAAAATTTTTATTTTGTTATTGCCTAATATAAAAATTTACAATGACATATAAACTATTGAATTGAAAAATAAAATAAATAATGAAAATAAGTTCCGTTAAAAAATGTGTCTTCATTGTTGATTATTTCTTTGTTCACCTGATTTGTTGGCGACTTAATTTGATTCTGTAATTTTTTTTTTTTTTTTTTTTTTTTTTTTTT